ATAGGCCCATATAACAGCCTTAGAAACCACGAGACCAATTAAAACCCCATCCTACAATTTTCACGGAATGAAATATGTATTATAAATCTTGGGCCGATTCCTCATGGAAACAACTGCAATCGGCCTTCCAAAACCTCCTACTCGCTAACTTTAGCAAGTGTCAACGACTGTTCATATAACAAGCTGTCGAGAAAACGGCGATATGTCCTAGGACTGAATAATTATTCTGTACTTTGCAAACATTGCATTCTAATCAATACATATTTTCAGTTCAATTTACTTCAAGAGGGTCACATTCCTTAAATGTTTAATGGATTGTTTTAGTCAGATATCACACAACTGACGTCAGTCAGTAGCGCACACGATCAGTTGTGGAATATTTCCAAATTTTATATCAGAAGGTGTAAAGAAATTTACCATTGACCTACATATACTCATGCCAATAATGGTTGTCACCCCCATCCCCACCCCAAGCCCACACACACCCAACACCCACACCCCACACCCCCTCTCCAATAACAAAAATTGAAGGGGGTGACAACCATTATTGGCATGAGTATATTTGCATTTACTTATCTAGATGTCCCTAACAAGCAGTCATTGTTGTCCATACACCAAATCAACATTTTTCCAGCAGTAGTCCTTTCGACGGACCAATGCACTGCTTATAGCCAGACATCTCCCCTTCCAGGAGTTCAGAGACCAACCTGCCAACATCAGACTCCAGGTATAGATATTCTGATCACGCTCACGCCCCAATTCAGTTGAGGCAAAGTCGATCGAGAAATCTTAGTCGGATAATATTCAATCTCTTCCGTCTAATGACCAGTGGTCAAGCGCCTTCAGGTTCCTATGATATGGATTTTATTATGATCTTATTACAATCATAAGAGCTTCATCAAGTAGGACACTGCGTATCTATAGGACACAGGCACTATCCTGATTTACTTACAGTGCTGCTAACTCAGACTCTCTTCCCATACAGCAGCTCATGCCTTCTAACACGGCATCACTTTACACATATGCAAGATTCAGAACGGTAGGACGGCTTTATACAAGTAAATAGTGATAAAGTCTCAACTTTGGTGTGAGTTTCCAATGGCGTAGCATAATTGTTTTAACCGTCGGTTTGCATCTCAGAGACTGTAATCATTGGTTTATTAGTACCACATCCTTTTCTTGGATTTCTCATGTGGTCAGCTCATATACACGCATCTTCGTGGACCTCCCTTGAGCACAAAACTGACAGTAGAACTGAAACCACTTAGCGGGGTAAAATTCGACTCAGTCAACGACTCTCATTCCACGACAGCAGGAATCAACGTATGTTTATTTAAGTGCGTGATATGGGTAATTACTGTGTTTCCTCCCACACAATACCATGCAACATTGATATGTTGGTTAACGTTAACAAAGCACACAAGCGCTCCCCTCTGGCGCCAGGATGAAAGTTAATTAGTTCGTGTAAACCAGAACGAAAAAACATGGCGACCTATTTGTTTCGGTACTTCATGATTACAATTAACGATCGGTCACAAGTATTGTTTTCGTACATTACCATGACCATTGGGTAGCCTAACATGTGGTTAGAGAGTGAAACGCCGAGTGAGTGAGTATGGTTTTACGCCGCTTTTAGAACTATTCCAGCAATATCACGGCGGGGGATGGGCCAGAAATGGGCTTGACACATTGTACCCATTTGGAAATCGGCGTGACGAGCAAACGCTTTAACCACTAGGCTACCCTACCGCCCCGTAAACGCCGAAGGCCTGGTTTCACTTCTCCACTGTTGATGCTGTGTGTCCACAGCGGTCATAGTGTTGTAAAATGGCCAAATTATACAGCCTTAAACAATACTCACATTCTTACATTGTCTTTGATTAACCAATATCAGATTGACTTTATTGCATTATCCTGTGTGAAGTGACCCTACATCAGATCAGACGTACGTGTATAACCTAAAACTATATCTGCAAACAAGCGCCACTGCCACTTACATTCAAGGTCTTCACTTCAGCTCTCAACCGATGCCTTATTGAAGATGATCACTCTATATATGATCCAGAGTGTTAACCGGAAGCTGCTGATATCCTCGGATATCCTGGCGTCCAGTGTAAGCTCAGCGCTTGCTCTGCGATAAGGCTCTTTTGGGTGGCGCCATTGTGTCATTGTTGGCATACAGATCGTAATGCCAATCCATAGTTTTAAACTCCTGTCAGTTCTCGTAGGGACACTGCAGCCACACCATGGAGTTATTTGAAAACAAACACCAGGAGCTTTGACACTATTCTCTGTCCATTGGCAGCAAATGTAGTTCTTACAGAACCATTGCTACATGATCGCTCATTCAACATTGTGTAATGAGCCTGACCGTGGTATTTCACACACTCTGTAGCTTGTCATTTCAGAATGCCATGCTAGAAACTGTTGCAATATTCAAACCTTGGAGTTTGTAACTAGGTAATATGGACTGAGCATTTAGCAGATTCTTTGTTCACATATCTACCCATTTGTCTGATATTCCTTTTCTGACGGTATGCACTTTTATGCAGAATTTTCCTTCGCAGAAACGGATAACTGTAAATTCATTTAATGTTTTGATTGTATATTCGTGACAACATATCCAACTCTACCTGAGCAAAGACATTCCTTCCCAAACTCAGTAGGAACCCAGGAAATGGTTTCAAAAACGCAACCTGATATCGGAGATGGTACGGTGTTCTCCATGATTTTCATGCAATTCATGCTGCACGTGCTGTTCACAAGGACCAGCCCTATAAAATGCACCCCTAAACCTTGTTGAATCATTCACATTACAACGTCAGCAGGATGCCGCGACTCACGACAGCTGAGAGGAACCAGGCGCTAGGAAGACTTGAAGCTGGTAACACTGCACAAGCCGTTGACAATCACGTCCAGGTCAACGTTCGGACCATCTACAGGCTGCAGCAACGTTTCCGGGCCACCAACACCACAAATGATCGCCCCCGTACTGGCAGACCAAGGGTGACCACAAGACAACCAGACCACCATGTTGTTCGACAGCATGCACAGAATCCCTTCATGCAGGCGTCCGAAACAGCACGCCAGACAATGGGAACACACGGGAGACCAATCAGTACTGATACAGTACACCGACGTCTTAACAGCGGGAACCTCCATTGCCGTAGACCCTACCGTGGACCTATCCTCACCCCTCGTCATCGGCGTGAACGTCTACAGTTTGCCCTACAACACCAAACCGACGATACAGGCAATGGAGAACTGTTCTGTTCACAGATGAGAGTCGGTACTGCGTATCAACTGCAGATGGCAGAACAAGAATATGGCGACGACGTGGCCAGCGTTACTCAGACCAATGTGTTATGGAAAGAGACTCATGGGGAGGTGCAAGCATCATGGTATGAGGTGGAATAGGCCTGAACCAGAGAATGGATCCTGTGGTGTTTCAGAACCTTGGTCCAGGGAGAGGAGGCGGCATCACAGCGGTGCGCTACATCGACCAAGCTCTCAGACCCCACGTCATACCACATTCCGCACGTCACCGGAAGAACATTTTCCAGCATGATAACGCCTGCAAACGTTCACGTAATGTCTTGGAATTGTGCTGAGTTATTCATCGACGTGTCAAGATATTGTACACAAAAACAGTTTTTGATCCGCTTATTATGTCCATTTCTGTAATGATTTGATTACAGTGCCGATCTAATTTTGAATTCGTAGTGACGTTTTTTTTGCTGCTGAGTATATTTAGTTTCGAGCTTCTCAAAATTTCGTTTTTTCACCATTCAATTTGAGCGAGTTTGTCGTCATCCACGAAAGGCCACTGCTATTCTCACAATCAAACAACCAAATGGTGGTGACAATAGTTTGCATGCTGGTTAGAGCTGTGTGTCAGCAGCACACTGATATCAAACCATGCAGTTCTTACAAAATCCCCAAACTAGGTAATCCAAGTAGTTACTTCGAACTCTACATTCTCCCCGACAATGCCTTTAGTTTGTGTGGGGTGATGGGGTAGCCGAGTGGCTACAGCGTTTGCTAGACAGACCGCAGAGACAAGTAGAAGGTCCTCGTGAAGCTAACGGTTAATGAATATGTTTTACAATAGTTGCAAGACATTTATTTCATCAATTGTGAAATACGAGTTTCATCATGGGATAGAAAGTAGACGCATTTATATAAACTGAAGCAAGAGGTACATCGGTTACCTCTTAGCCTCAGCTCGTCACGCCGAACACCTGACTTCGATTCCCCACATGGGTACAGTGTGTGAAGCCCATTTTCTGGTGTCCCCGCCGTGATATTGCTGGAATATTACTAAAAGCGGCGTAAAACTAAACTCACTCACTCAATGTTATATGTATGTATGTCCGATGTATTCTCTCACAAAGAAGATGTGTCGTCATGTAACTGCGCTCATTTATATCACAACACGTGCAGATCATGGTTACAGTTGGTCCTCAGCGACCTATTCTTGCAAGAGGCGATTAACGGGATAGGGTGGTTTGACTTACGTTTTGAAGCATGTTATCGTTTCCCAAATGCGTAGATCAGTGTTCATGATGTTGATCATTGGAATTTCTGGTGAAGACAGTTAGGATACGACATGTGTTAACCAAGACAATGAGGGTGACCACCCAATCCCGTCATTCGCCTCCTATGACAATTATGGGTTACTGAAGATCAACTCTAACCCGGATTGCCACTGGTGTTAACCATAGTGACACGGATGCATCGTGACACACCACCGTTAATGATTTCGATTGTCGACAACAGTACAGTGCAGATGGTCAGATATAATCATGGCTATATTTACAAATGGTCCTGTCTTCAACTGAATTCATCTTTTTTTTCTTTTTTTCATAATAAGAATTTATTGAACATTGCCACAACGTAAAATGAAAAACACATTGCCTAAATGTCAGATGTGACTACATGTCAGATGTGACTATATGTCAGATCGGTTTGCTTTATTTAATAACGCAACAGACAAGTAGTGCACTTCAGCTGACATTTTCCCTTGGAAAGCTTTTCTCTAGTTTCTTGCCTTGGGAATAATCACTGCTCAGTCTGTTCACTTTTGAAAACTGTCAAGACAAGCATATGTCACCTGTGCCAGATGGCACTCTTAGAGCAAAAGGTAGTTAATCACTAATGTAAAATGTTAAGGAATTAGGGTTCTTCCATAAAAGGTTACAGGTGAAATGTCTAATCGTTCCTTGAATATCATAAATTCTATAAACTACCATTAGTTCTGAGTCCAAACTGTTTTAAAGTGATGAATGTCTGTCTTATGGTGTTTTTAAACCGACCAAAGCATAACAAACAAGACGGCTACATAGGCTGTACATTGAAAATGAATGTTATTCATGACAAGCATATTAACAACTTAAAATATTCCTTTCGTGCAACTTTTGTCCAGCGCGAATAAACGTTCAAACAAAAGAGGATTGTGTTGTGCACCTTGGAAGCCGATAGTAAGAGTATGCACGTGGACAGAAGCATGCTTATACGTAGCTTTAGTGTTATACTGACACGGCGCTGTTCCTTTAAAACAACATGTACTTTGCCGCAGTCTGTTTTGCACCTCGGAATCACGTAGATACCTACAGGCAAGGGAAGAGGGATAATTATATTTCCAGTACTACTCATGTGGCAGAACCACACCCATGTTGTGTAGGGAACTGTATGTACTCTACCGAGGGTATGAGGACACGTGTCGGACTTGAGCTTAATAATATTTACAGAAGCTTTCAGAAACCCGTAGGGTTTCATACATATTGTGTATTTTGGAGATTCCCATGATCACCAGGATATGATAACACACAATAGGAAATACTCGGTCTGATCACCCATTAAATTGATCGTAGCTTAGAACAAAGTCATGAACATCGACCGTTAGAAGCAATGTAGGGGAATACCCGTGACTGTCAAATATCGATGCCATGTTAGGTAACTACCACCTAACACCTTCCAAACATCGCTGCCATATAAAACGATACCCGCCTAACGACTGTCAAACATCGCTGCCATATTACTATAATAGGTATATACCTCTAAACACCGTCCACACCCGCTGCGATGACAGGGGAAAACCCGCCTCACACATTCCCAACATAGCTGCCATGTTAAGTAATAACTGCCTGGCATATGCATGTTAGGGAAATAAATCTCATCATCTTCCCAACACCGCTACAATGTAGGGGAACACACGCCTAACATCTTCCCAACACCGCTACAATGTAGGGGAACACCCGTCTAACATCTTCCCAACACCGCTACAATGTAGGGGAACACCCGTCTAACATCTTCCCAACACCGCTACAATGTAGGGGAACACACGCCCAACATCTTCCCAACACCGCTTCAATGTAGGGGAACACCCGCCAAACGTCTTCCCAACACCGCTACAATGTAGGGGAATACTCGCCTAACATCTTCCAAACCCCGCTAAAATGTAGGGGAACACCCGCCAAACATCTTCCCAACACCGCTACAATGTAGGGGAATACCCGCCTAACATCATCCCAACCCCGCTTCAATGTAGGGGAATACTCGCCTAACGTCTTCCCAACACCGCTACAATGTAGGGGAATACTCGCCTAACGTCTTCCCAACACCGCTACAATGTATGGGAATACGTCGCACTCACGAAAATAAAGAAGTTGTTATCCATAAAACTTGTTATATATTGTACGTCTCAACTTCTAAAATGCCACTCAAACAAAATACCCGCCTAACATCTTCCCAACTCCGCTACAATGTAGGGGAATACCCGCCTAACGTCTTCCCAACACTGCTACAACGTAGGGGAATACCCGCCTAACATCTTCCCAACTCCGCTACAATGTAGGGGAATACCCGCCTAACACCATCCCAACACCGCTGCAATGTAGGGGAACACCCGCCTAACATCTTCCCAACACCAAATATAGCTCGCCTAACATCTTCCCAACACTGCTACAATGTAGGGGAACACCCGCCTAACATCTTCCCAACACCAAATATAGCTCGCCTAACATCTTCCCAACACCGCTACAATGTAGGGGAACACCCGCCTGACGACTGTCAAATATCGCTGCCATGGCAGGTAAATTAATCGTATGATCTTACCAAAATCGCAGCTATGTTAGGCAATGCCTCGCTACACGTTCTAAACATCAACTCACATCAATGTAAGAAAGCACCATTTCCACAACACGAGAAACCCGCCTACATCCCGCGAATTGTCTCTTATATGTCACACAGTCCATCATTTCAGTGTCTGGGGAAATCCGCCCCCCCGAACATAATGCCTCATGCAAAAAATTCAACCAATTCGAATCCCGGATGGGACTCAACCTAACAAAAGTTCCAGAATCGGTACTGTGCTGAGAAAGTGTTATCCCAAATAAACCACACGTTACATTGTACCATTTTCTAAATGGAATTGTGTATTCAATTCAACCAAAGTCCGTGGAAAATAGCCAACCTTCAACCTAGAGGGTCCTGTATAATTTTGTTTTGTAGCGTTGACCGGACAACAAACTCATACCGTCAAGTTGTTTGCTTTATCCTCACGTTTTCTAACATTTGCCACTAGGTTGCAGTGCATCATTTACATGACGTCTCGCCAATCGATGTATGTTTCCCTAACGTTTAGGGATGTCATTTGTTGTTGATCAGTTTCACGGTTACGGTTGAAGTTAAGCATACTTACTCTGATATCAACACACTTTGCTTCTTGTGAGACCCGTGAAGATCCGGGTTAGAATTAATCTTCAGGAGGTGAGGTGAGGTGAAATTGAGTTTACGTCGTACTTGAGAATATTTCGCTCATATAACGACGTGCATGCGTGTGTATGTGTATGTGCGGCTGCTTGTACTAACCCAGACTTAAGCTGGTTTTATAGTGCTACCCCACTCAGACACATTGTACTGTCTCCGAGCCGATCAGTCCTTGTTGTACCCAGTAATGTCGAACGCCAGGCAGGGACCAACAAGTACCATATTTTAACGTCTTTTGGTATGACGCGGTCGGGGTTCGAACTCACGACCTTCCACTCTCCGGGCGGACGCTCTATCCACTACACCACGGAGGCGGTGGATCTTCAGGAACCCATGCTTGTCGTAAGAGGCGACTAACGAGATCGAGTGGCCAGGCTCGCTGACTTGGTTGACACATGTCATCGCATCCCGGTTGCGTAGATCGATGCTCATGTTCATCCTGTTGATCACTGGATTGTCTAGTCCAGACTCGATTATTTGCAGACCGCCGCCATGTAGCTGGAGTGCTGCAACTAAACTCGTTCACTCTCTTATTGTTTCTCGTTAGGTATTTAACACTGTTACTGTCCGATAATGAACGACTCAGAAACAGAGAATGTTTGTGTAACAGTTGGAACACAGTAAGTGAATATGAGTTGTCAGTGACGTCAACAGCTTCAATGGTAAACAGGGCTACACATCCTTAAAAGTGATCAACAGCTATTTTGTCATAGGTAATATATATCGTCCTGAACCTCAGAACTAGAACTAGAATAGGATGGCCAGAAAGTGTGCATAGGTGACTAAAAAAGGAAGGCTGCCTTCACTAAGCTCAACTAACACCCGAGCAGGCTGATATACAGGGATCACAGCAGTGTGTTGTGAATTCAATGGTCTAGACTTTCCTTATCACCACAACAAAGAAAAGGAAAGGTCAATCTGGGCATGATCCCACGTATATGTTACAGGCTTATCACAATGTCTTCAGGGATTGACTATCCCCTTCTCAAATACCGCTTGCTACCAGACATTTAAGATTCAACAATTTTGACCCACACAAGTGAGGTATTGATCGTTGTTAGATTCAGCTTGAAAGTGATGGTATACATGAAGTATTCGCAGTCGATGGCGACTACAATAATACGATAAATGGCATCGTTATTCGTTTCGATTTTATCAACTGCCAATACATAAAGTTAGTCTTAGCTATTGTTAATGCACCTCTGGTGGTAAGACTGTGGAACACCTGTACCGATGGTGCTGACGCATGATGCTAACGGCGATCGTCGGTGGTCAATATTGTCAATCAAGAACAAAAAACGTGTTTGATCACTGACACAGTTGTGACACGGAGAGCGGACACCCATAATTAACTGGATACTTCGAGGACAACTTAATCCCTAACAAACAGCCATTCAGAGTCTATTTCAATAGCTCAAAGCTTTAATAAATGATAAAGAGCGACCAATATGGAATGCTCAAACTGTATTCGGCGTGTCATGCGGTAGAGTTTCTGTAAGAATGATGGAAGCAACGAGGCTGTTGCTCTGTGACGTCTGGTGTCGTTGGCGTTCTGTCTTTCTCGAAATATATCATTCTCACGCATCGATATAGGTATCTTTTTAGCTTGTAATAAAGATATTTTGTGGTGTTTTTGTATTATATCGTGGTTGGAGAAGTGGTCGTTCACAGCACCCCCCACCGTCCCCCTAATCATCGCGAATGTTAAAACCTAAGCAACTAGGCATACCAAGTAGTGCCGGGAATACGGATCAAGGTCTCAGAACGACCTTGAGTTGATACAACTCTCACAGATGTTTGCTTGGTGGCCATGACCTATGTGCGGTAACGTCACAATAAGAACGTACGTGCGTGAAGCCAATTTGTATTGTTCTTAAGTGTAACTTGTTCTGTATTTGGATATATCGGATTATTCCACCTCATTGTATTGCTTCTTCGTCTGGGTACGGAAGAAAATAACAAACACAGTTGCTTTGAAGGCTATAAACAGGCGTCTTAATCAACGTTTGATCTCATAAATGTATTGTCAGCTTCATGTGGTTATCAAAGAACCGTTCTTGCCATGATAATCAGATGACGTCCAAGTCGATGAAAGAAATACTGGATGCCTTGAAATAAACTTGTATGTTTTAGTCCAATGTTTTCTTATACTAATGCTAGCTGCGTCATCACGGAAGTGTCTATGTATTCTGAAGATCACTTGATAGGATTCACTAAATACGTTTAACATCTTCAGAGGAAGAAGTGTTTCACCCACAACAATGTGACTAGCTTTTTTAAAATAATTAAGGTGGCATGCATGTCA